GCGGAGTGGGGTAACTGCTGAAGTATAATAGGGAGATGCATATTATAGCCTCTGTCAATTTTTCACGCTCACAGAAGATTGAGAAAACCTAGATAATTGAAATCATAGAAGGACTTGGGAGGGGAAAAGTAACCATAATTTATTTAAACTAGGTGTTTGCCCCATCAGATCTTTCTCTGGGCTTGTGAGTGCCTGGGATGGTTTGAAATGTCTGCAACTTTGATTTCTCTGTAGGTGGAAAGAGAAGAGGCGTAGAAAACCAGAGGAGGGAAAGGAGAGAAGCAGAGGCTACTGGGAATATCCTTAAGGCAGAATAGCGTCTTTAGAAGGATGAGCTGGCCATAACTCTTCAAAAGTAAAGAATAAAGCTTGGGTTGTAGCTATGAGTGAGGAGCAACAGGGAGTCGAGGGCTGGGACATTGATATTGATATTGATATTCTTCTAGTTTCTGGACATCCAGCACCAGTGGGAACATGTGGTTCCTTTTATAGGAGGCCCCAGAGCAATTTAGAGTTTCTTAAGGGCAGAGACTGTGGTTCTGCATCCATCCATCTCTCCCTCTGGTGCCCTCAGCATCCTTGGGGATAGATGCTCTCTTTGGTGCTAATGAGTTAGATGGGGGCAGCTACATGCAGAAGAGAAAGACAAGGAGAATGTCAGGAAGCAGGAAAAGCCTGGAAAAATGAAGAGGGAAGAAGTAAAAAGGCAGACTGAGGAGAAGTGAAATGGAGGTAGAGGAAGCTGGGCTTGGAAGAGAAGGGGATAAGCCCATGGAGTGTTAGAAGAATACGGTCAGTAAGTCAGTCAACAAACATTTACTGTGTTCCTACTATATATTGAGCAATGTGCTGGAAGTGGAAGATGCAGTGGTGAACAAGACAAAAAAGGAGATTTTAGGGGTGGAGAACGGGAAGCTTTGTAAGTTAGAAACGAGGTGAAAGTGATAACTTAGAGCAGGAAGAGGCTGAAAGCAGTTGGAAACAAGAAGGAAAATATCACTGAAAGAGAACCTGCCCAAGAACCAGATGCACCAGGGAAGAGGTATCTCCCTGATTGATGGTGCGATACAACAGGAACCACCAGACTGAGGCAGGTAGGGTGGGAAGGGGAGAAATTCAAAAAGGGGAGGGACAAGAATGATTGGGGGTGGAGGGAACAGACTGTTCATGGATTTTTTTCACTTGGGCACCCCCAGTGAGAAAATATCTTTGGACTGAAGAATGGTTCTCAATATTTGGCTGCTCTCTGGAATCACTTGAGGAACTTTTTAATACTGTCGCCTGGTTCCCACCCCCAGAAATTCTGATTTCCTTGGCCTGGGATGGGATTCAGACTTCAGAATTGATTAAAAGCTCTCTGGTGAGTCTAGAGTGTAATCAGAGAGCAAGCAGGCATTTAGAGGCTGGCTGCCTGGCCTCCTTCCTCTTTGCTGAGAACAGAGCCATCTTGAAAGAAGCAATCTGCAGGAAGGGAAGTTGCGAGGTGGTTTTGGGGAGTTGTATATGAGGCTCAAAGACTCTGACAGTCCTGACAAAAGTATAAGGGGGTTCTCTTTTTAGAAAGTGTCCCCTTCCTTAGCCATTCCTCTGGTAAGAGAAGAGCCAGATAGGCTAGAAATAAAGAAAAAAACAAGAAAATAGTGGCCTTCAAGAGGGAAGAACTATTCAAGTAACTCAAAACTGCTGCAAAATTCTTCTAAGTTTTTGTACCCTGTCTTCCCACCCACATGCATGCTTTTTTTTTTTTTTTTGTCTTCACTTCTGCTGTCTTTCTGATGGGGCCTCTGGGGTGGGAGAAGCACAGCTGCCCCCAGCTTTCTTCCCACAAGAGGTTTGGCAGTGGCCCAGCAGGATATTCAACCCCACCTCCCCCCTCAAATCCCTGAGTCACAAACCTGGGTGGAGTCCTTAGCTTGACTGTGAAGCAATCTTAACTTGAAAAATGGCCTGGGAAAAGAACGTATGGTCTATATAAACAAGTCACGTGAAAATATAATTGTATGCAAATATTCATTCTTTAACTCAGCATACATTTCCTGCCATTCCTCCAAGTACTGGCCTCAATCCTTCCACTGTAGCTCAGTTTAGCAGGGAGTCAGAAGGGAAAAAAGTGTGTAATGTACTCATATTTATGCAGTGTGAGTGAATGAAGCCCTTTGCATGTGTCAAGAACAGTCCAGAGAAGGAAAAAGCTATGACTGAGTGGGAGTTCAGTGTTTAGACTTTGTGGAGTCTTGAAGGATGCATAGGAGTTTGGCAAAAGAAAGATTAGGTAGGAAGGAAAATAGTAGAGAAGCATAAGTGTTTAGGAACTGTGAAATCTTTCCTTGAGGCAAAAAGAGAGGATTTGTAGGAAGGGAATGGGGTGGGGGAAGGAGATAAAGTATGAAATGTATACGAGTAAAGAATGTGAAGGACCTTGTTTGCCTAAAAAGGAGTTTGGGCTTTTAACCTAGAAAGGTATAGGGAGCCAATGAAGGATCTTAACCAGAGGAGTGATATCTTTGTAAAGTCTTGTTTTTCAAAGACTGAAGCTGAGAGGGGTAGACTGGAAGAGACTATTAACATTTATTCAGTAATTACTGTGTATTAGGCATTCTGCTCAGTATTTTTGCTTTTGTTTTTGTTTTCTGCTTGCTATTTTATATTATTTTTATCACACCAACCCTTTGACAGTGTTTTTCAAACTGCCGATAAAGGACAGAAAAAAAAAGAGAGAAAGAAAATAAGAAAAAAAAGGAAGGAAGAAAAAGAGAAAGAAAGGCGATAGGATAGGATGGGAAATATCAGCGCATCACAGGTAGTAAAAGTAAGTATTGTTTTTGAAAACTTTCCTATACACTCTCATAGGAGTATAAGTGTCCTGGGCCAGGATGCAAATATATTTCCTACTGTGAGTTAAGGTTTAAAAAAAAAGAAAGAAAGCCACTGCTCTAAAGTGTAGGTGTGATTAGCCTCATTTTACAGATGAGGACACAGGCTCAGAGAGTTTCGGTACCCGGCCTGTCTGCAAGTGGGATGTGTTAGTTTCGAACCCAGGCTGGTCTGAAGCCAGAACCGATTCTTTCTCACTCATGCCTCTTTCTCACTCATGCCGTGTAGCCTTCCTAAGTTACACGTCTACAGGAAAAAGACCTAGGAGAGGAAGATAAACCTATCCTGGTAGCATCGCCAAGTGCTTTACTCACAGCACCTCTTTCAAAAAGGAACGTGGGATAGACACCAATTCTGTCTAATTGTATGCAAATATTCATTTGCATACAATTGAATATTTGTGTGCTGGTTAGAATGCATATTCCAAGGAGTGCCCCCAGACGTGCATAAGATTGGGAAACAGCAGGGGCGATCTACTTTTAGAGAGCTTCAGGTGATTCTGATGCTCACATTTGGTGGCCGTCAGTTGGCGGGGGGAGGGTCACTGCAATAACCAAGTGACAATTACAGGGGCTTGAACTGAGACGGTGAAAATAATGCTCTCTCTCAGAAGTCACGGAGACCCAACTCCCGCTATTGTGTCAGACGCCAATGCCTGGTCGTATAAAGTCGCCTGGGGGCTCATTTCCCTCTCCTGAGGCGTTGAAGGGCGAGGGACTAAATAAAAGGCTGGTGGCTTTCCACTCACCAGGCATGTGGTTGAGTGGCGGAAGAGCAGGAAGCCCCAAGCACATCAGGGCGATACTTGATTGAGATGTAATGAACAAGCTATTTACAGGGCTTTTCTCGGCCTCACCCTGAGGACTTCTGATTGGCTTTAGGGCAGATCTATCATTTATCCTCTGGGTTAGAGGTGGGTGGAAGGTCAACCACGACCAATACAAAAACCAGTGCTCAGCTAAGCTCCTCCCCATCTAGCTTCCTGTTGCTGTCCATCAACCACCTTGTGGGCGGGACTTTGCCTCCCGCCAGTTGGCTAGCGAACATGTCGTTCACTCTTCAGTAGGTTTCCGGTTGGTATCTTCTACCGTCCATCAGTGACATCTCACAGGTCTATTGGCCAAACCAACGTCGCTCTAGATACCTCTCTTTGATTGGTTAGTAGTGCTGTCGGTCCTCAATGTACAGAACTCCTATTGGTGAACGCTGCCGTCGCTCGGGCGGTGGCGGGCTCCGGGATTGGCGGGTGCTAGGCGGGCGGTGTCAGGCTCTCGGTGGCGGCGGAGGCGGCGGAGGCCAGGGAGGAAGATGTCGTAATGAGCGGTGGGTCCTGGCCGCTGCCGGCGGGGTCTTCCCGGCCCCCAAGGGTTGGGAATACGGGCAGAGGCCGCAGGGAGGGGGAACCGGGGGGGGGGGTTGCCCCCTGGGGCCGGGCCTGGCGCCGGGGCCCGGCTCCGGGAGGGGCGGGGGAGGGAGCATTCCCGCCCGGAGGAGGAGCGGGGCTGGCCAGCCGGGCGGAGGCACCCGGAAGGGGGCGTTCGACTCCCCGCCCCCTTGGAGCCTGCTGGGCGGGAGGGCGGGGCTTGCGGG